TTGACTGAGTCTCACACCTTTTCATACCTCCTAATACAGCATTAATTCAAGCCATCATTATTTTTCTGGACTAAAACAACTCAAACTGCTCTCCCTACTTCCAGTCTCCCCTTTTCCCAAATCACACCTACTGGATATTCACCTATCCAATACCCAATCTGACTTCCACCATTACCACCAGCTCACTTAAGTTTCTCAACTTGCACCAATATTGCTCCCAAGATACATCAGCTCTCTACAAGAATTTGTTATTATTTTGTTGAAGATAATTAAAGCAAACACCTGCTAGATGGTTTAATTAAGTACTTAGGACACAACCATACAGAATCCAATGCTGTGTTTATAATCACAATAGCATACTACCATAAACCAAGGTAATTCATGAGAAAATAATGGCAGACTTATACAATTAATTCCTTCAAGAGAACATAATGCTCTTTATTTCCAAATGTTTCAAATTTGTGAAATGTGATGAAAGAACTGAGTCTTTCCAAGGTATTAGCAGAATTGACAAGTCAGGCTAAAATATAATTTGTTCCATACCACATTCATATTGTGAGCAAGCTGTAAAATATATGCCACATTAATGTTAGGGAACTTGAATTTTATTAGTTTGTAGATTTAATTCATAAACATTTCAGTGTTGTTAAGAGCTAGAAACACAAGGAATTCAGTTTAATATTTACACATATGAAACATTAAACTAAATTCCTAGCAAGAAAACCAAGATACTCAAGTTCCTTAAACGTATCCTGCACTGAGAAACACCGTACTCTTCTTTACCCAATCGTAAGACTGTTCTCTAATTTTTAAAGAAATGTATCTTTTTAAGAAATTAACTTCCTTCATAAAATGTTGAGGATCGTATCTCTAAAACACTGAAACATCTCCTCTTTGAAAAAACAAAGCCTGCATAAATACCTAGACAATATTCAGCTTTCGAAGCAAAAGCTGTATTGAGAGGCATAGCTCTAGAACTGTGCACTCCAATATGGTAGCCACTAGGCACATATGGCTACTTAACCTTTAAATAAAACTAAAAGTTCAGTTATTCAATCACACTAGCCACATTTCAAGTACTCAGCAGCCAAATGTGGCTGGTGGCTAAAACGCCTCCATCATCACAGAAACTGCTATTGATGGTGCTGCTCTACAACTTCCCCCTCTGAGTAAGTGTTGCGAAAGCTGCTCATGACCTCAAATATCAGCTCTAGGTTGATGACTTCCAAATCTGTCTCTAGTCTTTTTCCATTAACCTAATGGAATATCTTTAGTAACATACTCGATATTTCAATTCTACCTTATCAGCTGAAGAGACGGAAGTAGCGGCTGGAAATAATCAAGGCAGTGGCAAGAAAATAAGGTACAATGTGATCAAGAATGGAACAGATTTTTAGGGTAAGGTTAAGACTGAGTTTGAGACAAACGGGAATAGGTACTGTAAAAACCTTAGTAAATACAAATCGAAAGATAATTTCCACTCCATTGTACCCACCAATCCTAAAAGAATTAAAGACCAGTTTGCAAAGATCTTCAAAAGATATTTTTCCAAACACACCTGAAGATATTCACCCAGTAAATTCCCCTTTGATATAAAAGATACATTAAAATCACAGTTTATAATCAGTCAATATAAACAATTTAGCCTGTTTCAAAGTTTATTTTGTTCATTACATTTCTAATTCTTTAAAGATACGAGTCTTTAAAAAATTTCACTCCTAGGTATACAGCCGAAGAAAACAAAAGCACTAATTTGAAAAGATACACGCACCCCAATATTCACAAGCAGCATTATTTACAATAGCCAAGACATGGATGCAACCTAAGCATCCATCAACAGATGAATGGATAAAGAAGATGTGATATATAAAGATATACATATAGATAGATAGACACACACACACACACACACACACACACACACACCCCTGAATACTACTCAGCCATAAAAAAAGAATGAAATTTTGCCGTTTGCAACAATATGGATGGACCTGGAGGGTATTATGCTAAGTGAAATAAGTCAGACAGAGAAAGACAAATACTGTATGTTATCATTTACATGTGGAATCTAAAAAATAAAACAAACCAGTGAATACTAAGAAATAATAATACAATTAATAAAGCACTTCAGCCAGGTTCACAACTACATAGCAAAACACTACCTCAGATTCCTGTTTATCACTTTAAATCTCTCAATTTTCTCTATACTGTAGTAGTATAAAAAATACTTAATATAGTTATTATTAATTACCCACAAACATGTTTTCTGCTTTATAGAGATATTTAATGTTGGTGTTACTCCAAAAGAGAGCGTACTTGAAAAAAAAAAAAAAAAAAAGGAAAAACTCCATCTTCTGTCTACTCAACTAAAATAAAATCAGATAGAAAAATAAATCAGGCCCCCCAAAATTCAGACAGAGAGCTTCAGGGCTTCCCTGGTGGCGCAGTGGTTGAGAGTCCGCCTGCCAATGCAGGGGACACGGGTTCGTGCCCTGGTCCGGGAAGATCCCACATGCCGCGGAGCGGCTGGGCCCGTGAGCCATGGCCACTGAGCCTGCGCGTCCGGAGCCTGTGCTCTGCAACGGGAGAGGCCACAACAGGGAGAGGCCCGCCTACCGCAAAAAAAAAAAAAAAACAAAAAAAAACAGACAGAGAGCTTCAGAAAACAATGATAATAAAAGGCATTTCCAAAATATGTATGGTATATTAATTTATTCAGTAAACATTTATGACCACTATAAACTTCTGGAATGAGGTGAATAATACACAAACATTCAGCAAACATTTATTAAGTACCTACCGTATGCTAGGCTTTGGACTAAATATACCAAAACAAAACAAAAGACACGGACCCTGCCCTCACGGAGCTCACACTCTAGCTGAAGCCAACAAGCAATCACAAATACAACGGCCAAGCACCAGGGAGGCATTATGGAAGGAAGGACTGGTTCTGCCTGGAGGGTGCAGAGCGGGCTTCACAGAGACGGAGACAGTGGAGCTGGGCCTTGGATGAGTAGCAGTCCAGCAGATGGAGGGGAAGGGGGAAGCACACTCCAAGCAGAGGAAACAGCACATGAGCAAGCAGAATCTTGAAAGCACATGCCACGGTGCAGGATGACGAGCAGTCCAGCGCAGCTAGAGCGGAAAGGTGCATACAAACTAAAGAGACGAATTAGTTTTAGGTTTTTAGTGAATCATAACTACCAGGAAGTATATCTTCATATTACACTTAGTGCAGCTTAACTGTGATTCTGGTAACAACAGAGTAGTTTGAAAGCATTCCATTCATTTCATAAATATTTAAGCCCCTTCAAAAGACATCCAGCACTGTTCAGTTTTAAAAAGGCAGTCAGTTTCAGAAAAATAAATCGTAATTTTCCTCCATACATCTAAGCAGCAAAATAAGCCCAGAATAAAGACTTTCTTAAGCTGAAATCACCCAGCTTCGCCTCTGAACACTCAAGGTCCCAACCTGAGCACCCCCGGACTCCTACCACTACCTCATATCCTCCTTAACACCTTCAGAACCATCAACCCACAGTAACACCACAGTTAAGCGATACGGAGGCAATTCCAGCCTTCCCTTCCCACTCTGCCTCTAAACATGGTACCTGCCCATGCCCCTTTGGAAACCATGCCAGGTAACTAACGCAGTATGTGAGGAAACAGTGCATTCTCACCTCCACACCATTTTTTTGGAAATCAAACTATTGTTTAAAAAAAAAAAAAAAGACAACTGTTAAGCTAAATTCTGAAAAAAAAGAGGGATATGAAGCAGAGACCCCATATTCTCCAGGAAAAGGAAAAGGTGAGGAGGAAGAGAGCTCGGGTCAGAAAAGTTTCCTACACTGGCCACCAGGCAACACTGTTCACTGAGGTAGCTCGCTGCCTAGGAAGCTACAACGGGAACAGGAAAGGAACTTGCTAGGTAATTTCACATAAATTCCTGTTTACTTCTCACAACAACTAAAGGAAAGATTTTATTACCTAAATTTTACAAATGAGAAATCTGAGGCAATCAGAGGTTAATAAACTTGCCCATGACTGCATGAGCTGTTAAGCGGCAGAGCCAGTACATCAAACCATACCCACCCCACTCCATAGGCAGCCCCAGTTCCTCAAGTGAACGCGGCACTCCCAAGGGGCACGCAGGGCTACATCGGCCAAATACCTAGAAAGAAAAGCCCTTCCTTTTCCCTCCACCATTTTCATGGTCAGTGTGAGACAACGGTGGTGGCAACACACATACATGTGTTTCTCTGAAATTTAGAGGGAAAAAAACTGGGGAAAAAAAAAAAAAAAGGTTATCTAAGATTAGTTGTTTCGGGGCCACGGGGAGGTGGGGAGCTTTCTCTGTAAAGATACTGGGTGCTTTAATACAATTAAATTAGCATCAGAATTCAAATGCTACTCATTTAAATTCCTGTACAATAAACCATCAACTAAGCAACTCAGTAAAAGTAAGAGCTAATGGAACAATCTCCAATCACAGTATTAGAATGAGAATATTATTCCTAAAGGTCACTATCCTCAACATCATCAAAAAGTCAAAATAAAAACTGCTCTTTCTCAAATCCTAATCCTGAAAATTAACAGGTAAGTATAAACTATGTGGTAGGTAAGGATACTTGCGCCACAATAAAATTTTGCCTCTTTTTGGGCAACAGGAACTATTTTAAGGGGGGGAATAAAGGAGACAATTAACATCAACAAAGAAATCTTTTGTAAATAGTCCCAATGGGCCAAAAGTGTGATGTATGTTGGCCTAGAGAGATACTGAAATGTTGTTTTCAACTGTGCACAATTTTACTTAGGCTATCTCTCTGTAAGCCAACTACCAGAAAATTAATCAGATATATAAGTCAAAATGCTTTGGAGGGGGAGGAGAAAAAAAACTGGGACATTCAGACAACCAAAATTCCAGTGACACAGTACAATGTAAGATACTTTTGGGAGAGCTTTTGGAATAGCATTCATTTGCTATAAGTAAATTAACCAACCTTATTTTGATTGAGAGGATCATTCCGCAGTCTCTGTTTGTTCTTCTGTAATTTACTAGGCATCATCTTTCCAGTTCTGAAGTCAAAACTGCTGAGGTCAACAGTATTTCCCAGGTACCTTGCCAACTGAGGTTTGCTTCTGAACTTCTTACCACTTGGACTAGAAGAAAGATAACATTAATTGTACAAAAGACAAAAATATTTACCCTAGATCACTACATAACCCTTTTCTTCATGCCTTCTTTTCTGCTCCCAATTACTATCACATCACGATATTACATATTTTTTTTCAAAGAAATATTAGAAGTTTTAAAGGAACTTAATTAGAACTTTTTATCTCCTGTAAAAAAGATAATGTGTCATCTAATATAATACTCCACTAGGTACACCCCTGGAGCACATAACAGATGTGAATACTGATTATCCCACTGGTCACTCACCCAGCAACCATTAACAGAATCCCAACCCAAACAGCATGCACAACACAATGTGCACGCTGCAAACGTCTTCAATCTTACAAATTTTCCAAACTGATTTTTGAAATTTTTTTTTCTGTATTACACATACACAATGCCAACAGTAATCACAAAGAACTTCAAAACAAATTGTTCTGAGGTCAACAACTCTTGTTAACAACACATTTACACAACACTTGGAACCCATATAATCTTTGCGCTACCGATTTGAACTCCTAACATTCACAACAGAAAAAAAAAATCTGTTGAATTTCTGACAATATTTAAATGCTCCCTAACGTTACTGAAAGGAGAAAACTAAGGCAAACATTTGCAAATGTGTTTGTATGATGCTGACATGACTTTTGTTAGCCTAACTCTTATCTGAGAGAAGGATATCAAGAATAACTTACTTCCTGTAAGAAAAACTGTCGGAAGCTGGAAAATGACAGAAGTGCCGGAATTATATAGAGGGCTAATAAACTAAACTAGTCTTTCCTAAAAAATTTTTCCCATATTGCACTGAAATGTAAGAAAAATTTTATAGGAGGAATACCCCAAAGTCTCATCTAATAAATTTTCTGAACCAAATGTGCTAGAATAAACTGCAGGGGGATATGTCACCAGAAGAGAATTGTGAGAATTCTCAAATACCTCTCAAAGAAGCCAACATGTCATATTGAGAACTTAACCTTGCACCAACTGACTATAATAAAAGAAAAATAATTCAACAGGAAGACAAAAGAGAAAAGGCTGGGCTTCCCTGGTGGCGCAGTGCTTGAGAGTCCGCCTGCCGATGCAGGAGACGCGGGTTCGTGCCCCGTTTCGGGAAGATCCCACATGCCGCGGAGCGGCTGGGCCCGTGAGCCATGGCCACTGAGCCTGCGCGTCCGGAGCCTGTGCTCCGCAAATGGGAGAGGCCACAACAGTGAGAGGCCCGCATAACGCAAGGAAAAAAAAAAAAAAAAAAAAAAAAAAAAAAAAAAAAGAGAGAGAAAAGGCTGGAAAACCAAGCAATTTACATTTCCCTGGAACAGCAAAACTTCTCTCTGGGTCAAGTCCAAATCAACACACCCCAGTCTGTCACAAACTCCATGGTATTCTGCCACCACAGCCTTCAACACAACTGAAGATCGTATCAACATTCTTTTTCCACAATCTCATGACATAGCTATTCCTGAAACACAATTCAAGGTATAGAATTCAGCCTACAGATGAAGATAACAACCAGTTAAGACCAGAATGTAACAGAATAGAAAGAAGCAAACAACAACCAGAACACAGCAGAGAAAAGAATACAGAATTATGTATAAACAAACCTCAACTCTCATTCTAATCCAGATTTCCAAATATGCTCAGTATCACAAAATAAAATAGCACATAACCCTCAATACTGTTTAAAACTTGAATCATTTCTGCTCACTGCAAACTTCCACTCCCAAACCTGATCTTGTGTTGCCCTCTACTGTAGCATCATTGTCTACTTAGCAACTAATCTTCAAGCTAGGAGGCCAAACACAATGTTCGATGCTCCATCCCTCAGCCCACACATCCAATACCAAGTTCTAAATGTTCAGAGACTCCCCAATGCTGACAAAATAGTTTTGCCTCCTTAACAGAACATCAAAAACCGTCCATCTGTTCAGGTTTTTTTTTTTTCCTGACTTTTTCCCACCAGCCTTGAACACACCTCACATTCTAAACTCAACATCACCAAAATATGCCATGTACCTTTGACTTCCAGCCATGTCTTTCCAGGTGGAAGGTTGAGCATAAGCAATATCCTGTCTATCATAAAACTATTAAATCTGGGCTTCCCTGGTGGCGCAGTGGTTGAGAGTCCGCCTGCCGATGCAGGGGACACGGGCTCGGGCCCCGGTCCGGGAAGATCCCACATGCCGCGGAGCGGCTGGGCCCGTGAGCCATGGCCGCTGAGCCTGCGCGTCCGGAGCCTGTGCTCCGCAACAGGAGAGGCCATAACAGTGAGAGGCCCGCGTACCGCAAAAAAACAAACAATTAAATCCTCCAAGCCCAGCTAAAATGTCACTGCATCTATGAAGCTGTCTGTGATTCTGAAAGCCCACTTAGAAATAATTCAACTATCTCTCAATTCTACTTCATTACAATTCTAAACATTCCCTTGATTAGTAAACAACCAAAAATTACGATGTCCCTTATTAAAACCCTCAAACATAACGTATATAGCCTAGTACTGAACAAAGTAACTTCTGAGAGCAAAAAAAAACACCTCTCAGTTGAATAGTTAAGAACATGGTTTTCATTTGCAGACACAATGGAACAGAAAAGTCTATGCTTATATAAAACTTACATTGTCTGGAATTTAAAAACTGAACTGGAAAATATTTTCATGGTTAATCTTATACTACATAAGAAGTGAAGTATTACTAAAAAACCCAAGTTAATGAAAAACTGGTAAAGAGTACCCTGTTATTATATCCTTATATAATTACAAATAATTTTAATTAAGCTAAAATAGGCATATAGTCCTTATAATCAGATATTTCAGTTACTGGTAAATTAGATTCTGATAAACTACTTGTTATACAGATACAAGCATCTGTAATGCACAGCTACAAGTACTGGTCATACACACTGTTGCCTTCAGAATGTGCTACAAGCCATTTTCTTCTGCATAACTGCTATAGCTTGTGCTTGGTGCTTTAAGGAAAGTCAACCTGGCTGCCCCAGGGGATTTTAAGACCAGGGACCTTCCTCTGCAGGAGATGAAGGCAAGCATATTAGAAAGGCAAGGCCCATGGGAATGGTTAAGCAGAAATTCTGTCCATAGGGACCACTGCACAGCGGCAAAATGACTCTGGAAGTGGCCAAGGAAGTCAGTGCTAGATAAATAAAATGACTGTATGTCACTAAAGTGACTAAGTTATCATCTGTCTGCCCTCTAAGATGGCTGCTGTTAGGTAACAGTCTCAGACACACCAGGACTTAATGTGACTAAGCTTTTATTCTAAAAGCATCAAGTTGTAACTCAGGGAAATTATTTTTTTTTAAACTCTAGTAGACTAGTGAAGGATATTAGTCACTTTCAGTTTTCTCTGCCCAAAGCGATTACTTCTAATCCTGGTAATGAAATACTAATATTTCACTTTCAACCACAAAAAATTTCCCTACCAACTGCCCCCTAGATCTGCCTATCCTGAGCCAACCTGTGATCTCACCTTTAACTTGTCCTCCCCACTAAATACCCTAAAGAAAAGTAACTATTAAATGAAAATCAAAAGCATGTTACATTTTTCCCATTCATATTAGAACATTTCATCACTTGAACTATGTCTTTGCTTGCCTTCATTTTGATTAAGCTGTTTAAAGCAACTTTTTTTAAAAAATTGAAGTATAGTTGATTTAAAGCACTTTTTAAACCTAACTCTACCTTACAGGTTTCTAACTGTAGATTATCAAAAGGAAAGAAATTTTATTTGGCATCTGACTTTCAAATCTAAAAAAAACTTTATTGAGATACCAGAAAGACTTAAATAACATTCACCTTAACTTAGTAGTATTCCAATTATGTCACTCTATAAACTCATCTGTAAACGGCATTACTGGAGCTAGACAACTGTAATATGCCCTGCCAGTCTATGATATGAAAATTAACTCTCTGAAGACCGCTGCTTGCATGTGAAACTGCACTCTAAAAATGAGTAGTAGAGCAAACGAATTTTTTCACGTTACTTTGGTAAAATGGATAATCATGATGTCAAGTCAAACCATTATGAGGAGACCAGAGGTCTGAGCAAACACAAGTATACCTTCAAACCAGTTTCTAACAGTATGAACTGTGGGGGTGGCGGCAACCAGAGTGGAAGAAGATGGACTGGCCTATCAGCAGGGAGGAGCATCGTGGACGGCAGATGGTTAGGTCTATGTCTCAAGAGCAAGTTCTAAGGCGTATGGCTCTCCAACAACATCAGGAAATGCTTTGTGGGGAATAATAAAAATTCTAGAAGCTACAGCATTGGAAAAGTTTGAGAATAAAGAAACATCAACTTTCTATTTTTTCTATCCCTCTAAGTGTTAAAGTTTACTGGTTACAAGAGTGTTAAGTATTGAAAGAAAGATTTCTCTAACTTTAAATAACAATTTTTTCCAGAAATCAAATTTTAGCTGAGACTAAAAATCTGAAAGTAACATTATCTTTTTGTACCTCAGTACAATCAGAAAACTGCCAAACCAATTAATTCGAAGAAATATATACCAATTTTTTCAAAACCACATGACTTACACACAGGAAAATCCATCTAAAAGTCAGCTCCCAGTCCCCCTTAACTCCTTTCCTCCCAAACTTTAAATGTAGGCCTTTCCTAAAATGAACATCCTCAGCCCTCCTCTATAGTTTGTCCCAGGCAGAATTTATCTACTCTTATCTTTTACTATCTCCCATCTCTGATCAATTACGAAATCCAGTTCCTTCATAATCACCTTTGAATCCATCCTTCATTTCCATTTCCATTGCCACTGCCTAAATCAAGTCTTTATCACCTCAAGTCTCAATCACCACAATAGGCTGATTTTCTATTTGCTAGCCTCTTTGCATCCTAAACTAGCCAGACTGCTCTTCCTCAAACACCACTATTACCAAAGTGCCAGTTTAAATGCCTTCAACAGACTTCAACCCATTAGCAAAAGGGAGCCAAACATTTTAGCCCTGCATTTGAGATTCTTTGTC